GCCGCTGCGTGGCTAATTCCTCAGTTTCTGTCTGCGGCTTGTTAAGCCCAAAAAATGCGAACGTATCTTGGAGTTGTGTCGGATCGACACCGGATGTATTCAGACCTGATTCGACTTGGACCAGAATTCGTTTGGAAGCGGACCGAGACCACCTCTAAAAGTGGGTCTCGGTTCGGTTCTTTGGTCCGGACCAGGATTTGTTTGTGTGTATTCAGACCTGCATAAAAGCTTCGGATCAGAGTTCCAAACGAATCCTGGTCCGTTTAAAGTGGAGCAAATGTGCAGGTCTGAATACACCCTTAATGTTGTTTTATGTCTGTATTTGTCTGTGCACACTGGAGACTTTTTGCTAATGTATTCCAATGTGGTTTTACTGCAAATGGCAAATAAACTGAATCTGAATCAGAATCAGATTTGAACTCAGCTTCAGAGACATTTCTTTAATTGTCTCAGTTCTCTGTGTGTGTGTTTGTGTGTCTGTGTGTCTGCGTGTGTGTCTGTGTGTGTTTGTGTGTGTGTGTGTCTGTGTGTGTGTGTGTCTGCGTGTGTGTGTCTGTGTGTGTGTGTGTGTCTGTCTGTGTGTGTGTGTGTGTGTGTGTGTGATAATAGAAAGATCCATTGGATGTTTTCAAGTTGTAGAGTCAGAGTAAAGCTTGAGCATGTGGCGCCCTCTAGTGGTCAGTTCTAAATATTGCAAATGGATTTGAATGGAGTGATATTTGGAGCCAACAGGAGATTGTGGCAGTGCTGTGATGGGAGACTGCTGTGGCAGTGCTGTGATGGGAGACTGCTGTGGCAGGTACCATAGAAGGGTTACTTCAGATCAGATTCATTTATTTTCCATTTGCAGTAAAACCACATTGGAAAAATGTGCAAGACTACCCCAGTGTGCACCAGACAGAGGCGACACACACCAGAGCTCTTGCCACGGCGCGATCTTGAAGGAGTCTCAGGAAATAGGGGTCTGAGTAGAATTAACTGTTTGATTCTCTGATCTGTGTTGGTGAATCGACAGCTTTGTAAAGTTCCCAGAGATAACTACTGTTTTGATTTAGGGTGATACATACAAATACACACAAATAAATTATATAGATAAATGTTTCTGCAGGTTCCTCATCGTCCTGGGCTGCCTCATCCTGGCAGTGCTCACCACCTTCAAGGAGCACGAGAAGGTGTCAGCCCATTGGCTCGTGGTCCTGGTGAGAAATACTATCACTACTATCACTACTATCACTACTATTGCTATCGCTACTGTCACTACTATCACCACTACTTTGGGCGGCACGGTGGCTGAGTGGATAGCACTCTCGCCTCTCAGAAAGAAGGTCCTGGGTTCGAATTCCGCTTGGACCAGGGCCTTTCTAAGTGGAGTTTGCATGTTCTCCCCGTGTCTGCGTAGGTTTCCTCCGGGTGCTCTGGTTTACCCTACCACTGAAAACATGTACAATAGGTCTGGCATGTGCCTCCTGTACTGGCCCCTCTCCCATCTCTGTGTGGAGTGAGAGACAAATGCCCAAAAATAACAATTGTAAACCGCTTTGTGACTCTGGTCTGTGAAAGGCGGTATATAAATAAACATTACTTACTAATATCACTACTATCGATTGAAGAGGATGGACCTGGATACTACTGGGGTCTGCCATCTATGCAGCAAGGTGATGTCACTACTATCACTCCTACTACTATGACTACTAATCACTACTATCACAGTTCTACTACTACTACTGCAGTCACAACCATGTGACTGTGTGACCATGTGACTGTGTGACCATGTGACCATGTGACCATGTGCAGGAGACTGGTGCAATCTTCATCTTTGGGCTGGAGTTCGGGCTGAGGCTGTGGGCGGCCGGCTGCTGCTGTCGCTACAAAGGACTGAGAGGAAGACTCAAGTTTATACGAAAACCACTGTGTATGCTAGGTACACAAACACACACACAATCACATACAATCACACAAACCCACAAACACATAAACACACATGTAACGCAAACACAGATACACACACACAGAATACACACATGTGTGTGTATAAATGTGTGTATCCCTAACACACAGATGTCTTTGTGTTGCTGGCCTCGATGTTTGTATGATACTGTGTATCTGTGTGTAGATTTCTATTGTGTGTATAATAGTGTGTATTTGTGCGTAGATATATTTGTGTTTCTGGCCTCGGTCCCGGTGGTTGTGGTGTTTGTGTGTGTGTGTATAATACTGTGTATCTGTGTGTAGATATACTTGTGTTGCTGGCCTCGGTCCCAGTGGTCGCGGTGTGTGTGTATAATATTGTGTATCTGTATGTAGATATATTTGTGTTGCTGGCCTCGGTCCCAGTGGTCGCGGTCCGGAACCAGGGGAATGTTTTGGCGACGTCGTTGCGGAGCCTCAGGTTCCTGCAGATTCTCAGAATGTTACGAATGGATCGAAGAGGAGGGACATGGAAACTACTGGGGTCTGCTATTTACGCCCACAGCAAGGTGATGTCACACTACACGGGTGATGTCACACTACACGGGTGATGTCACACTACACTGGTGATGTCACACTACACGGGTGATGTCACACTACACGGGTGATGTCACACTACACTGGTGATGTCACACTACACTGGTGATGTCACACTACACGGGTGACGTCACACTACACGGGTGATGTCACACTACACGGGTGATGTCACACTACACTGGTGATCACAGTTTGGTACCACACACGGAAGATGATGTCACACTGTATATTTTCCTGCAACTCTCATGTAGAGTCACTAACTCTAATGTAGAGGAGGTCTCGGACTCCTCCATCAGAGGAGGTCTAACTAAAGTTGTGTGAGCAGGAGCTGATCACGGCCTGGTACATAGGGTTCTTGTCCCTGATCCTGGCCTCGTTCCTGGTTTATCTGGTGGAGAAGGATGACGTTACCATGGAGACGCCCAACGACAAGTCGGGCACAGTGCAGCCGCGCACCCAGGACTTCGACACCTACGCAGACGCCCTCTGGTGGGGACTGGTAAGAACTGCACCTACATCTACTGCCGCAACACACACACACTTGTATACACACATTTATCAACACTTGTATACACACGTTTATCAACACTTGTATACACACATTTATCAACACTTGTATACACACATTTATCAACACTTGTATACACACACAACACTTGTATACACACATTTATCAACACTTGTATACACACAAAGTAAACAAACACAAACAAATCTTTCTAATCTTTTCAGATATAGATTCATTTATTTAATTGCAGTAAAACCACATTGGAATAAATTTGCACCAGACGAGTGCAGAAATAAAACCTGGGGATCGACTAAAATAGTTTCAAAACAAGTGAATATCAACTGTTTTCTTTTCCCCTTATTTTTACCCAAAAGTGATACATGCAGGTGAGGGCCGATCTCTCTGAAGCTAAGCAGGGCAGGGCCTGGTTAGTACTGTGATGGGAGACCTCTGGGAACACTATGTGCTACAGTAGGGTGGCTGTGGCTATAACGTGCCAAACTGTCGCTGTGTCCTGAAGCAAGACACTTCTCTCACATTAGAATGAGTCTGGTGTGTGATTGGTTGGTGGGAGGGGCTTATGGCACGGACTGGTCTTATTATTAGATAAGGTAATAGATAAAGATTAGATAAAGATAATAAAGATACAGCTAACAACGCCTTAAGGCAGACTGAGGAGCCACGGCCCATGGTATGGTACTGTTCTTGAACCATGTGACAGATCACGCTGACAACCATCGGATACGGAGACAAGACCCCAAAGACGTGGGCGGGACGGCTGCTCGCCGGAACCTTCGCCCTCATCGGAGTCTCCTTCTTCGCGCTCCCCGCAGTGAGACTCCTCTGTTTATCTTTAAATCTACTCTAACACTGACTCTGACACTGACTCTGACACTGACTCTGACACTGACTCTGACACTGACACTGACACTGACTCTGACACTGACTCTGACACTGACACTGACTCTGACTCTGACACTGACTCTGACACTGACTCTGACTCTGACTCTGACACTGACTCTGACTCTGACTCTGACACTGACTCTGACACTGACACTGACACTGACACTGACTCTGACACTGACACTGACACTGACACTGACTCTGACTCTGACACTGACTCTGACACTGACACTGACACTGACTCTGACACTGACACTGACTCTGACTCTGACACTGACACTGACTCTGACTCTGACACTGACACTGACACTGACTCTGACACTGACTCTGACACTGACTCTGACCCTGACACTGACTCTGACTCTGACACTGACTCTGACTCTGACACTGACTCTGACTCTGACTCTGACACTGACTCTGACTCTGACTCTGACACTGACACTGACTCTGACTCTGACTCTGACACTGACTCTGACACTGACTCTGACTCTGACTCTGACACTGACTCTGACACTGACACTGACACTGACACTGACTCTGACACTGACACTGACTCTGACTCTGACACTGACTCTGACTCTGACTCTGACACTGACTCTGACTCTGACACTGACTCTGACACTGACACTGACACTGACACTGACTCTGACACTGACACTGACACTGACACTGACTCTGACTCTGACACTGACTCTGACACTGACACTGACACTGACTCTGACACTGACTCTGACTCTGACACTGACACTGACTCTGATTCTGACACTGACACTGACACTGACTCTGACACTGACTCTGACACTGACTCTGACACTGACTCTGACACTGACACTGACTCTGACACTGACTCTGACTCTGACACTGACTCTGACTCTGACTCTGACACTGACTCTGACTCTGACACTGACACTGACTCTGACTCTGACTCTGACACTGACTCTGACACTGACACTGACATTGACTCTGACACTGACATTGACTCTGACACTGACACTGACTCTGACTCTGACACTGACACTGACTCTTACACTGACTCTGACTCTGACTCTGACACTGACACTGACACTGACTCTGACACTGACTCTGACTCTGACACTGACTCTGACTCTGACACTGACACTGACTCTGACACTGACTCTGACTCTGACTCTGACACTGACTCTGACTCTGACTCTGACTCTGACACTGACACTGACTCTGACTCTGACTCTGACTCTGACTCTGACTCTGACACTGACACTGACACTGACACTGACACTGACTCTGACACTGACTTTGACTCTGACACTGACACTGACACTGACTCTGACTCTGACACTGACACTGACACTGACTCTTACACTGACTCAAACACTGACACTGATCTCTGACTCTGACACTGACTCTGACACACTGACTCTTACACTGACACTGACTCTTACACTGACTCAAACACTGACACTGATCTCTGACTCTGACACTGACTCTGACACTGACACTGACACTGACATTGACTCTGACACTGACACTGACATTGACTCTGACACTGACACTGACTCTGACACTGACTCTGACACTGACACTGACTCTTACACTGACTCTTACACTGACACTGACTCTTACACTGACTCAAACACTGACACTGATCTCTGACTCTGACACTGACTCTGAATGAATGAATGAATGAAATATTTATTTCAAAACCTGCACACATAAATTTACAGAAAACAAAAACACAAGCAAAAACACGTACAGGGATTGAAAAGGGGTTGGAGGAAGCAAAATGCTTATATTAATCCAACCCCCCTCACCCAGACTCACCCAGACTCACCCAGACTCACAGGACAATCAGTAAGACGGAAACAATACCATGCTGGGTAAAAACACATAATACAAATGTTTACTGTACAGTACATACAGTAAGAACAATACAACATCTACCACCAATGGTATGGGACAAGACAACTCACTCACACGCACACACACTCACACACACAGGCCCAAACCCTCCCTGACCATACACCTCTCTCCTCCAACTGCTCAGTGCTGAGGGCATCAATCTCTTACCTCCTTGTACTTCTTCATTATTTCTTTTTTATAAACTCTTTTAAATTGAATCAGGTTTGGACACGTTTTAATTTCATCAGATAGACTGTTCCACAGAGTAACTCCACACACGGAGATACACATTGATTTTAAAGTCGTTCTAAATTTAGGTAAGTATAGTTGTTTGTTTCCTCTTAGTTGATACTGATGGTGAGCATCTCTATCATGGAATAGTGTTTGCAAACTCTGTGGGAGGGAGTTTTGCGATGCCCTAAACATTATTTGAGCAGTTTTAAATTGAATCAAGTCTAGAAGTTTGAGTTGTCTCAAGTCTAAAAATAATGGGTGTGAATGATATCTATAGTGAACATTTGATACAATCCTAATAGCCTTCTTTTGCAAAGTGACTAAAGGCTGTAAGTGAGACTTGTAACAGTTTCCCCAAACTTCAATACAATAAAATAAATATGACATAATGAATGAATGATACAACAGGAGTAGGGCATTTGTGTTCAGTAGCGGACTCGCTCGCTTCATCATTCCGACACATTTAGCAACCTTTGTTCTCAGGTAACTTATGTGGGGTTTCCAATTGGTTTTTTCATCTATTATAACTCCTAAGAAGGCATTTTGTTTGACTTTCTCAATTGGTGTATCATCAATTATTATTCTGACTGGAATATTACTATTACGGTTGCCAAAGAGCATAATTTTGGTCTTTTTTAAATTTAGTGATAATTTATTACTATTGAACCATGTTTTTACTTTGTTCAATTCCACAGTTACTGTAGACAAAAGTTGCTCCAAATCGTCACCTGGACATATAATAGTTGTGTCATCAGCAAAGAGAATGAATTTCATCAACTTTGATATTTTGCATATTTCATTAATGTACAATATAAATAAAGTGGGTCCCAATATTGAACCTTGTGGTACTCCACAGGTTATGTTCCTATAACTCGATTTGTGTTGGTCAATCTGGACAATCTGCTGTCTCTCTCTCAGGTAGCTCTGCAACCATTTATTTGCCAATCCCCTGATACCATAGGCCTCCAGTTTGTTAATCAAGATATCATGATCGATGGTATCGAACGCCTTTTGAAGATCAATGAAAATTCCGATTACAAATTTATTTTTTTCAATTCCATTTGTTATCTCCTCAACTAAGTCAATAAGAGCAAGTGATGTAGATCTATTTTGCCTAAACCCATACTGACTATCAGACAATAAATTATGTCTTTCAATAAACCCACGGAGTCTTGTATCAAATAATTTTTCTAATATTTTGGAAAACTGAGGCAGAAGGGAGATTGGCCGATAATTGGTGAAGCTGTGTTTGTCTCCGGATTTGAATATGGGGATTACTTTTGCAGTTTTCATTTGTGATGGAAAGTCACCAAGCTGGAAAGATAAGTTACAAATGTGTGTAAATGGTTCAACAATTTCTTCAGCAACACTGCGTACTGTTTTCATGTCAATGTCGTTTATGTCTTGTGATGTTTTGTTTTTGCATTTTCTGATCAAATTCAGAACTTCCTTCTCGTTTGTGGGAGTGAGGAACATGGAGTTAAAGTTTGTTTCAATGAGCCCCTTTGACTGTTCGTTGGTAGAAGGGATTTTTTTGGCCAGTTCTGGTCCAACATTAACAAAGAAGTTATTAAAACCATCAGCAATCATTGTTTTGTCCCTTATAATTGTATCGTTCTCCACAAAGTACTCTGGATAACTAGGGCTGCTAGAACCACGACCAATAATGGTGTTCAACACTTTCCAAATTCCTTTAATATCATTCTTCTTTTTAATTAATAAATCATTATAATATTCTGTGTCTAAGGAATAGTCTGTACAGGTAATTTTTCTTTTTACAAGAGTTGGCAAGCCCTTTTGATATCCAGGGAGTTTTTGTGTAGCGACTTGTTGTGCACTTTTTGGTTGGACAGTATTTGTCGTACAGTGTAGCAAACATTTCCAGAAACAAGTTGTAAGCTGTATTTACATCAGACATTTGGTAAATGGGTTCCCAGTTCTGACTGGCCAAATCAATTTTCAGATCTATTATTGATTGTTGTGATATGATTCTACGATAGCTGTCACTTTTAACATGTTTAGGTATTTTACAGTCGATGTCATAAACCATGAAGACTGGTAGGTGGTCACTGACATCACTAACCAGCAAACCACTAGTAACACTGGCGTCTAAAATGTTGCAAAAAATGTTATCAATAAGGGTAGCACTGTGTGTTGTGACTCTAGTGGGTCTGGTGATCAGCGGGTACAAGCCCATGGAAAACATTGTGTCTATGAATTCATCTGTATGTTTATTTTTTTGGGGATTTAATAGATTAATATTAAAGTCACCACATATGATATATTTTTTATTTTTATAACTAAATATTTTTTCCATCCATTCCCTGAAAGCCTTCAGGTCAGATCCTGGTGTCCTGTAAACACAACTTACAATAACGTGTTTCTTTTTTGGCAGAGCCAATTCAATAGTAATGCATTCAAAAAGGTGGTCCACTGCTAAAGACATATTTTCTACAATGCTACAAGTAATATTTGTGTCTATATATAAAGCCACTCCTCCTCCTCTTTTATCTCGTCGGTTTGTGCAGAACATTTCATACCCTTCCAATTCAAAGTGGCTACCCTTGTCCACATCCATCCATGTCTCTGAAATTGCTATAATATTAAACGGTGATTTAAACTGACTCAAGTAGTCTCGGATCCCTTCAAAGTTAGAATATAAACTTCTACTGTTAAAATGCACTAGAGAGATATTTTTATCTTGTGTAAATTTGTTTTCAAATGCAACATCAGTATAATATAAGCAGTCATTATTCATATTAGGAAGGAAATTACTATCTGGGTCAATTTCAATCATGTTTTGTGATTTATATTTTATACTGTCTGAGAAATTGATCATAGTTTCTAAATTATGAGAGTTCATGCTCAAGTCATCCTCCTCGGTTTCAAACGAGGCATTGCTCTCAGAACTATACATCTATTATCATTTCAGAAACATGAATGGATGGAGAGGGTGTATGGTCAGAGAGTCTAGGCCCCAGACACGCGCAACAGACAACCACACCGCAACATTCAAACAAGCACATACACACAAGCTCTCACTCATACAGAAGCACACACACACAAAAACACACTCACACGCTGCAGGCAATGAAATAGAAATAAACATGAGAAAAATGAAAAATCATAACCTTTCATGGACGTCGGAACTATTTTCTGAGAGGGGGGGCGGGTTTTTGTTGGGAGAGTCGAGGGAGAGACTCATACTTGGATTACACTGGATAATAACATACCATCTTAATTGTTAAGAAAAACAAAATAAACAATATATATCAAGCGAGTCACTTATCAAACTGAACTTTTTTTTTTTCAATACGCATTCATGCGTCAGTCTCTCCGGTGGCTTCATTGTGTTGTGTAGCCCAGTGACGTGCGGTCAGATGAGGCAGGCAAGGCCCTCACCTAAGATCATAGAAAGAAAAGTAATAAAATGGATACAATAATGTTTGGTCACTTTATCAAGTGATTTGTGCTGTGCCTTATTTCATTTATTTATACCTTGAAATCGCAGATTTGACAGAGCGGTGCTGTGAGGCGAGCCTCTCTTGGGAGACGTAAAAAGCAACAGCTCACAGGGAGAGTCCTGTGAGGTGCTATCAAACTGTTTTCTCTGTTTATCACAGTTTAAAAAGTCCAAAAATATTTAATTTACAATCAACATGTTTACATTTAAGAGGATGGCTCATAAATTGTGTTTTTGAAGCAAATATGGGTCTTAATCGCGCTCAACCACTGCTTGTAAGTGAGGAAAGCCTCAAGGGGGCGCTTGTGAGCCCAAACTTTGGCTGCATCCAATTCCATCAGAAAGCTCCTTTCTTGTTCTTCTTCTGCTAAGGGCAGCTACAGGTTTGGCTAACATACCTATAATACATTTTAAGATAATTTAAAATGCACTTAGAGTAATGTTTTGCTTCCAATGATGATATGAATCATAAGAAAAGGAGGTGAAGGGTAAGGTTGAATTTAGAAATTGGATTTACCCGGGAGTCGGCTGCAGCAAAACTCGCAGTTTACGGAGGAGACACCTGTTTTTTTTACTTTTTAAAACTCATTGAACTTATTTCCAAATGGAGGATTACATGTCTGTGCTCAAACTATTATCTGGACTTAAACATGAAACTGGTCCTAACTGAAGTGGTCTGTGCTGTTCATTAATACCTAAGGTAAGGCCCATAACACACTTTGTACTTTTTACAAACGTTTGCGTTTTGTATGAGAAAACAATGCAGACATTAAATCATATTCTGCTGTAGCCAAACAAATTGTGTATAAGCCGCTCCTGTTCCTGTAGGTCCTGTTGGTTTATATGATGTATAATCATATGAACACATGATTGATCCCCCACCGCACGTCACTGGTGTAGCCAGGTCTCTAATCTGCGCAAGGCTGAGAAAGAGCGCTCAGAGGCTGCGACAGATATTAGCCAGACAGAGCTTCATAAGCTTCTCCGACAGCATGGAGCGGGTTTTGGGCTGCAAGGAACGCAGGGTAGTGATAACTTCTCGCTCCCGGCACACGCGGAGGGGGTGCGGCCGCACCCCCCGCACCCCTAGTTCCGACGTCTATGTAACCTTTACCCCCTCAGAATCATGCCCCAAAGAAAAAGAAAAAATATATATATGAAGAACTAAGTTCTACCATTGCACATCAACATTTACTTGTGTTACCTGAACACGGGCCTGCCTACATACAGGCATATATTTTATAAATAATATTTGCAAAAAACACCAATACAAAAAGGGGCGTGGATTTACAGGAGCAAACCTATTTTTTTTTCAGTCAGAAAAAATAAAAAGAAAAGAGAAAGGACTGCTTATACGCGACCTAGTGACGTCATCGCGCTTGTATGTAAACATGATAGAGTCAAATGAAGGAACCTTAACGATCAGAGCGGTCTCTATTTGGACTTGGAAGTTTCGTAGTCCGAGAGAAACTTTTCAGCAGCGGCCGGGTTTTCAAAAAGCTGCAGACCTACGGAGCTGTTGGTCAACTTGATCGTCGCGGGGTAGAGCAGGAAGGCTTCGAATCCCATGGTTCGGGCTCTGTTCATCAGTGCATAGCAGGGGCGCCTTTTCTTGGCTGTGATGTCGCTGAAGTCCGGGGCAAAGCGGATAGGCTGTCCAGCTACTCGCACCGTGCTTCTCCTGGACTCGTTGAGAACACGATCACGATCCGAAAAGCGGAGAAACTTCACTATCATTACTCTGGGCTTGGGTGAGGAAGGTCGCCATGTTCCGATCCTATGGGCTCTCATTAACTCCAGTGAACTCTCCGCTAACCCAGGGAACCACTTTGGAAGTGATGCAGTGAGCTAAGCCACAGCATTGTTCTTTTCCTCGCCTTCTTTGATATTCACAATACGCAAGTTATCGCGTCTGCTGCGGTCCTCCAGCGAGACGAGTTTGCTCTCCAATCGTGACAACGCGTCGCCAAATCCAGAAAGGGTGTCCTCGTTTTTGTTGACACGGGTTTGCATGGCGGAAATATCCGTACGTTGTTTCTCAATATCTTGTGCATGCTTGTTTAAAGTCTCTTGTATTGTGGTGAGCTGGTGCTCTAAACGCTGGAAGTGTTCTTTCGATTGTTCCTGAGCTTTGGTAAAAAACTTATTGAGGGTAGCTTCCAGGTGCTCCGCCGTGAGCTGGCTCGAGGACATTTCTTCTTCCATTTGGCTCTGTCCTCGGTTTTTTGTCTTTGAGCGTGTACCAGACATGCAGACAACGATAATATGCAACTTTAGATATATTGCTAGAGGTTTGATTTCAAAGGTTTGCTCGATCAATGAACAGGGAGTGTTAGGCAAACAGACCTCACTCCGCCATCTTGGAGATCAGACTGTCAGTCCGACAGTCTGACTCTGACTCTGACACTGACATTGACTCTGACTCTGACTCTGACTCTGACACTGACATTGACTCTGACTCTGACTCTGACACTGACTCTGACACTGACTCTTACACTGACTCAAACACTGACACTGATCTCTGACTCTGACACTGACTCTGACTCTTACACTGACTCTTACACTGACACTGACTCTTACACTGACTCAAACACTGACACTGACACTGACTCTGACTCTGACTCTGACACTGACTCTGACTCTGACACTGACTCTGACACTGACTCTGACTCTGACTCTGACACTGACTCTGACACTGACATTGACTCTGACTCTGACACTGACACTGACACTGACACTGACTCTGACACTGACACTGACTCTTACACTGACTCAAACACTGACACTGATCTCTGACTCTGACACTGACTCTGACTCTGACTCTGACACTGACACTGACACTGACACTGACACTGACTCTGACACTGACTCTGACTCTGACACTGACTATGACACTGACTCTTACACTGACTCTGACTCTGACACTGACTCTGACACTGACTCTGACACTGACTCTTACACTGACACTGACTCTGGCACTGACTCTGACTCTGACACTGACTCTGACTCTGACTCTGACACTGACTCTGACACTGACACTGACTCTGACACTGACTCTGACTCTGACACTGACTCTGATCTCTGACCTCAGGGGATCCTGGGCTCGGGTCTCGCTCTGAAAGTTCAGGAGCAACATCGACAGAAGCACTTTGAGAAGAGGAGGCACCCGGCTGCTGGCCTCATCCAGGTGAGGGGGGGAGGGGGGAGTAGAGGAGGCACCCGGCTGCTGGCCTCATCCAGGTGAGGGGAGGAGGGGGGAGTAGAGGAGGCACCCGGCTGCTGGCCTCATCCAGGTGAGGGGAGGAGGGGGGAGTAGAGGAGGCACCCGGCTGCTGGCCTCATCCAGGTGAGGGGAGGAGGGGGGAGTAGAGGAGGCACCCGGCTGCTGGCCTCATCCAGGTGAGGGGAGGAGGGGGGAGTAGAGGAGGCACCCGGCTGCTGGCCTCATCCAGGTGAGGGGAGGAGGGGGGAGTAGAGGAGGCACCCGGCTGCTGGCCTCATCCAGGTGAGGGGAGGAGGGGGGAGTAGAGGAGGCACCCGGCTGCTGGCCTCATCCAGGTGAGGGGAGGAGGGGGGAGTAGAGGAGGCACCCGGCTGCTGGCCTCATCCAGGTGAGGGGGGGAGGGGGGAGTAGAGGAGGCACCCGGCTGCTGGCCTCATCCAGGTGAGGGGAGGAGGGGGGAGTAGAGGAGGCACCCGGCTGCTGGCCTCATCCAGGTGAGGGGAGGAGGGGGGAGTAGAGGAGGCACCCGGCTGCTGGGCCTCATCCAGGTGAGGGGAGGAGGGGGGAGTAGAGGAGGCACCCGGCTGCTGGCCTCATCCAGGTGAGGGGAGGAGGGGGGAGTAGAGGAGGCACCCGGCTGCTGGCCTCATCCAGGTGAGGGGAGGAGGGGGGAGTAGAGGAGGCACCCGGCTGCTGGCCTCATCCAGGTGAGGGGAGGAGGGGGGAGTAGAGGAGGCACCCGGCTGCTGGCCTCATCCAGGTGAGGGGGGGAGGGGGGGAGTAGAGGAGGCACCCGGCTGCTGGCCTCATCCAGGTGAGGGGAGGAGGGGGGAGTAGAGGAGGCACCCGGCTGCTGGCCTCATCCAGGTGAGGGGAGGAGGGGGGAGTAGAGGAGGCACCCGGCTGCTGGCCTCATCCAGGTGAGGGGGGGGAGGGGGGGAGTAGAGGAGGCACCCGGCTGCTGGCCTCATCCAGGTGAGGGGGGGAGGGGGGAGTAGAGGAGGCACCCGGCTGCTGGCCTCATCCAGGGGAGGGGGGGAGTAGAGGAGGCACCCGGCTGCTGGCCTCATCCAGGTGAGGGGGGGGGGGGGAGTAGAGGAGGCACCCGGCTGCTGGCCTCATCCAGGTGAGGGGAGGAGGGGGGGAGTAGAGGAGGCACCCGGCTGCTGGCCTCATCCAGGTGAGGGGGGGGGAGGAGAGGAGGCACCCGGCTGCTGGCCTCATCCAGGTGAGGGGAGGAGGGGGGGAGTAGAGGAGGCACCCGGCTGCTGGCCTCATCCAGGTGAGGGGGGGGGGGGAGAGGAGGCACCCGGCTGCTGGCCTCATCCAGGTGAGGGGGGGGGGGGGGAGTAGAGGAGGCACCCGGCTGCTGGCCTCATCCAGGTGAGGGGGGGGGAGGAGAGGAGGCACCCGGCTGCTGGCCTCATCCAGGTGAGGGGAGGAGGGGGGGAGTAGAGGAGGCACCCGGCTGCTGGCCTCATCCAGGTGAGGGGGGGGGAGGAGAGGAGGCACCCGGCTGCTGGCCTCATCCAGGTGAGGGGGGGGAGGAGGGGGGTGGAGGCACCCGGCTGCTGGCCTCATCCAGGTGAGGGGGGGGAGGGGGGGGAGTAGAGGAGGCACCCGGCTGCTGGCCTCATCCAGGTGAGGGGGGGGGAGTAGAGGAGGCACCCGGCTGCTGGCCTCATCCAGGTGAGGGGGGGGGAGTAGAGGAGGCACCCGGCTGCTGGCCTCATCCAGGTGAGGGGGGGGGAGTAGAGGAGGCACCCGGCTGCTGGCCTCATCCAGGTGAGGGGAGGAGGGGGGGAGTAGAGGAGGCACCCAGCTGCTGGCCTCATCCAGGTGAGGGGGGGGAGGAGGGGGGTGGAGGCACTGTCTTTAGTCTTCTCTACCACTGCCCTCAACATATGCCCTCTCTCCCCTCTCTCTCCCCTCTCTCTCCCCTCTCTCTCCCCTCTCTCCCCCCTCTCTCTCCTCTCCCCTCCCCTCTCCTCCTCCCCCCTCTCCCCTACAGTCCGCCTGGAGGTACTACTCCACTAACCCCATCAGGGAGGACCTCATCGCCACCTGGAGGTTCTACGAGACCATCATCTCTCTGCCCTGTTTCAGGTGAGACCCCAGTCCAGACCCCAGTCCAGGCTCCTGTCCAGACCCCAGTCCAGACCCCAGTCCAGGCTCCTGTCCAGACCCCAGTCCAGACCCCAGTCCAGACCCCAGTCCAGGCTCCAGTCCAGACCCCAGTCCAGGCTCCAGTCCAGGCTCCTGTCCAGACCCCAGTCCAGACCCCAGTCCAGGCTCCAGTCCAGACCCCAGTCCAGGCTCCAGTCCAGGCTCCTGTCCAGACCCCAGTCCACGCTCCAGTCCAGGCTCCTGTCCAGACCCCAGTCCAGACCCCAGTCCAGGCTCCAGTCCAGGCTCCTGTCCAGACCCCAGTCCACGCTCCAGTCCAGGCTCCTGTCCAGACCCCAGTCCAGACCCCAGTCCAGGCTCCAGTCCAGACCCCAGTCCAGGCTCCAGTCCAGGCTCCTGTCCAGACCCCAGTCCAGGCTCCAGTCCAGACCCCAGTCCAGGCTCCTGTCCAGGCTCCAGTCCAGACCCCAGTCCAGGCTCCTGTCCAGACCCCAGTCCAGGCTCCTGTCCAGACCCCAGTCCAGGCTCCAGTCCAGACCCCAGTCCAGGCTCCAGTCCAGGCTCCAGTCCAGACCCCAGTCCAGGCTCCTGTCCAGACCCCAGTCCAGGCTCCTGTCCAGACCCCAGTCCAGGCTCCAGTCCAGACCCCAGTCCAGGCTCCAGTCCAGGCTCCAGTCCAGACCCCAGTCCAGGCTCCAGTCCAGACCCCAGTCCAGGCTCCTGTCCAGACCCCAGTCCAGGCTCCAGTCCAGGCTCCAGTCCAGACCCCAGTCCAGGCTCCAGTCCAGGCTCCTGTCCAGACCCCAGTCCAGACCCCAGTCCAGACCCCAGTCCAGGCTCCTGTCCAGACCCCAGTCCAGGCTCCAGTCCAGACCCCAGTCCAGACCCCAGTCCAGTCTAGTCTTGTGTCTTTAATTCATATAAATAATAGGGCTGGGACTTGTTTAAAAAAAAAAAAATTCTAATTAATTAGAGGCTTTGTGATTAATTAATCGCATTTTAATATTTGTCCTGAGAACAGTGAGAAGTAATTTTTTCTCACATGGATTTTTAGTTTATCATTGAATAATGACTGAATACATAAGCTTAAGCAACACATGTTCAACGAGGATGATAAGGGGAGCAGACGGACTTCTTTCCATCAAATAACGTATCTGTCATCGCCTCCACACACTGTCAACAACATACGCTTTTTAAAACCAAAATCCACTGCACTCACAGTGAGTTTTCATGTGTGCATTAGAACTAAAACATCAGCAAGAGCAGCTCACACAGCTGCTCCTCCTCCGCCTCCTTGGCCTTCGCTAATACCATAGACTGTATATATTAATGGACAGAGTCAGGCCTATCTGCGCCGTTCTAACAAATGGGCCAAATAATGTGCTCTGCTGGAGCTATACAAAATGGCCGCGAGTGGTCCCGCCCACAAGAAAATTGTGAAAAAACATATCTGCGCATGCGTCAGCTGCACGGGCTCCATTTATTTAAACGAGAGACTTCTAAAGTCCACAGCGACTAAACTAGACTGGTCCAGAACACTCAGCATTGACACACATGTGGAACGGAGCTTTGGGCCAAGAGCCAACTTTTGGTCCATCCTGTAAAGACGTTTTCCAGAGGTCTGCCAATGCTATATGTTAGCATTGGCTAATTCTTATTCTGGGTCCACCCCCACAGGCCCGGGGTGGTACTGCAGCATGTCAGGGTCCACCCCCACAGGCCCGGGGTGGTACTGCAGCATGTCAGCGCACGTCATTTTGGACACTTTTGAGCCGGGACCCGCCCACACTGGCTAATACACAGGCTCACACACAGGAGTCGATCGCTGCTCCTCCTCCTCACACACAGGAGTCGCTCGCAGCTCCTCCTCACACACAGGAGTCGATCGCTGCTCCTCCTCCTCACACACAGGAGTCGCTCGCAGCTCCTCCTCACACACAGGAGTCGATCGCTGCTCCTCCTCACACACAGGAGTCGCTCGCAGCTCCTCCTCACACACAGGAGTCGATCGCTGCTCCTCCTCCTCACACACAGGAGTCGCTCGCAGCTCCTCCTCACACACAGGAGTCGATCGCTGCTCCTCCTCCTCACACACAGGAGTCGCTCGCAGCTCCTCCTCACACACAGGAGTCGATCGCTGCTCCTCCTCACACACAGGAGTTGCTCGCAGCTCCTCCTCACACACAGGAGTCGATCGCTGCTCCTCCTCCTCACACACAGGAGTCGCTCGCAGCTCCTCCTCACACACAGGAGTCGATCGCAGCTCCTCCTCACACACAGGAGTCGATCGCTGCTCCTCCTCCTCACACACAGGAGTCGCTCGCAGCTCCTCCTCACACACAGGAGTTGCTCCTCCTCCTCCTTACACACAGGAGTCGATCGCAGCTCCTCCTCACACACAGGAGTCGATCGCTGCTCCTCCTCCTCACACACAGGAGTCGATCGCTGCTCCTCCTCCTCACACACAGGAGTCGATCGCTGCTCCTCCTCCTCACACACAGGAGTCGCTCGCAGCTCCTCCTCACACACAGGAGTCGATCGCTGCTCCTCCTCACACACAGGAGTCGCTCGCAGCTCCTCCTCACACACAGGAGTCGATCGCAGCTCCTCCTCACACACAGGAGTCGATCGCTGCTCCTCCTCCTCACACACAGGAGTCGCTCGCAGCTCCTCCTCACACACAGGAGTTGCTCCTCCTCCTCCTTACACACAGGAGTTGATCGCAGCTCCTCCTCACACACAGGAGTCGATCGCTGCTCCTCCTCCTCACACACAGGAGTCGATCGCTGCTCCTCCTCCTCACACACAGGAGTCGATCGCTGCTCCTCCTCCTCACACACAGGAGTCGCTCGCAGCTCCTCCTCACACACAGGAGTCGATCGCTGCTCCTCCTCACACACAGGAGTCGCTCGCAGCTCCTCCTCACACACAGGAGTCGCTCGCAGCTCCTCTTCACACACAGGAGTCGCTCGCTGCTCCTCCTCCTCACACACAGGAGTCGCTCGCTGCTCCTCCTCACACACAGGAGTCGCTCGCAGCTCCTCCTCACACACAGGAGTCGCTCGCTGCTCCTCCTCACACACAGGAGTCGCTCGCAGCTCCTCCTCACACACAGGAGTCGATCGCAGCTCCTCCTCACACACAGGAGTCGCTCGCAGCTCCTCCTCACACACAGGAGTCGCTCGCAGCTCCTCCTCCTCACACACAGGAGTCGCTCGCAGCTCCTCCTCACACACAGGAGTCGCTCGCAGCTCCTCCTCCTCACACAGAGTCCATAGCTCCACACACACCGCTTTTTCTCAGACACCGAGTTGGTCTGTGCTTGTTATAATGTACTTTTGAAGAAGAAAAGTCGCGGAGCTCAGTTGGCGTTCCGGTATAATCGGCCCGATTATACACATGCGATTAAAATGCGTCAATTTTTGTGGCGTTAATTCATCGTACTTAACGCGTTAAAATCCCGGCCCAAATAAATAATAAATACAACTTTATTGAAAACACGTGTTTATAAAAAACAAAACAAAAGAAGATCGACAGAAGTCAGTAGAAATTAAAAGATTGTTTAGGATCTGGAGCAAGACATGTGCTGTCTGTCTCACCCTGTCTCCCCCTGTCTCCCTCTTTCTGACCCTGTCTCCCCCTGTCTACCTCTGTCTCCCTCTGTCTGACCCTGTCTCACCCTGTCTCCCCCTGTCTCCCTCTTTCTGACCCTGTCTCCCCCTGTCTCCCTCTGTCTCCCTCTGTCTGACCCTGTCTCACCCTGTCTCCCCCTGTCTCCCTCTTTCTGACCCTGTCTCCCCCTGTCTCCCTCTGTCTCCCTCTGTCTGACCCTGTCTCCCTCTGTCTCCCACTGTCTCCCTCTGTCTGACCCTGTCTCCCCCTGTCTCCCTCTGTCTCCCCCTGTCTCCCTCTGTCTCCCACTGTCTCCCTCTGTCTGACCCTGTCTCCCTCTGTCTCCCACTGTCTCCCTCTGTCTGACCCTGTCTCCCCCTGTCTCCCTCTGTCTCCCCCTGTCTCCCTCTGTCTCCCACTGTCTCCCTCTGTCTGACCCTGTCTCCCCCTGTCTCCCTCTGTCTCCCCCTGTCTCCCTCTGTCTCCCACTGTCTCCCTCTGTCTGACCCTGTCTCCCTCTGTCTCCCACTGTCTCCCTCTGTCTGACCCTGTCTCACCCTGTCTCCCTCTGTCTCCCCCTGTCTCCCTCTGTCTCCCACTGTCTCCCTCTGTCTGACCCTGTCTCCCCCTGTCTCCCTCTGTCTCCCCCTGTCTCCCTCTGTCTCCCTCTGTCTCCCCCTGTCTCCCTCTGTCTCCCTCTGTCTGACCCTGTCTCCCCCTGTCTCCCTCTGTCTCCCCTGTCTCCCTCTGTCTCCCTCTGTCTCCCCCTGTCTCCCTCTGTCTACCTCTGTCTCACCCTGTCTACCTCTGTCTCCCCGTCTCCCTCTGTCTCCCTCTGTCTGACCCTGTCTCCCTCTGTCTCCCTCTGTCTTCCTCTGTCTCACCCTGTCTACCTCTGTCTCCCCCTGTCTGACCCTGTCTCCCTCTGTCTCCCTCTGTCTCCCTCTGTCTGACCCTGTCTCCCTCTGTCTCCCACTGTCTCCCTCTGTCTGACCCTGTCTCCCCCTGTCTCCCTCTGTCTCCCCCTGTCTCCCTCTGTCTCCCACTGTCTCCCTCTGTCTGACCCTGTCTCCCTCTGTCTCCCACTGTCTCCCTCTGTCTGACCCTGTCTCCCCCTGTCTCCCTCTGTCTCCCCCTGTCTCCCTCTGTCTCCCACTGTCTCCCTCTGTCTGACCCTGTCTCCCCCTGTCTCCCTCTGTCTCCCCCTGTCTCCCTCTGTCTCCCACTGTCTCCCTCTGTCTGACCCTGTCTCCCTCTGTCTCCCACTGTCTCCCTCTGTCTGACCCTGTCTCACCCTGTCTCCTCTGTCTCCCCCTGTCTCCCTCTGTCTCCCACTGTCTCCCTCTGTCTGACCCTGTCTCCCCCGTCTCCCTCTGTCTCCCCCTGTCTCCCCCTGTCTCCCTCTGTCTCCCTCGGTCTCCCCCTGTCTCCCTCTGTCTCCCTCTGTCTGACCCTGTCTCCCCCTGTCTCCCTCTGTCTCCCCGTCTCCCTCTGTCTCCCTCTGTCTCCCCCTGTCTCCCTCTGTCTACCTCTGTCTCACCCTGTCTACCTCTGTCTCCCCGTCTCCCTCTGTCTCCCTCTGTCTGACCCTGTCTCCCTCTGTCTCCCTCTGTCTCCCTCTGTCTCCCTCTGTCTTCCTCTGTCTCACCCTGTCTACCTCTGTCTCCCCCTGTCTGACCCTGTCTCCCTCTGTCTCCCTCTGTCTACCTGTCTCACCCTGTCTCCCTCTGTCTCCCTCTGTCTGACCCTGTCTCCCCCTGTCTCCCTCTGTCTTCCCCTGTCTCCCTCTGTCTCCCTCTGACTCCCTCTGTCTCCCTCTGTCTACCTCTGTCTCACCCTGTCTACCTCTGTCTCCCCCTGTCTCCCCCTGTCTACCTCTGTCTCACCCTGTCTACCTCTGTCTCCCCCTGTCTCCCCCTGTCTACCTCTGTCTCACCCTGTCTCCCCCTGTCTCCCCCTGTCTCCCTCTGTCTCCCTCTGTCTACCTCTGTCTCCCTCTGTCTACCTCTGTCTCACCCTGTCCTCCCCCTGTCTACCTCTGTCTCACTCTGTCTCACCCTGTCTCCCCCTGTCTCCCTCTGTCTACCTCTGTCTCACCCTGTCTCCCTCTGTCTCCCTCTGTCTCCCTCTGTCTCCCTCTGTCTCCCTCTGTCTACCTCTGTCTCACCCTGTCTACCTCTGTCTCCCCCTGTCTCCCCCCTGTCTCCCTCTGTCTGACCCTGTCTCCCTCTGTCTCCTCTGTCTACCTCTGTCTCACCCTGTCTACCTCTGTCTCCCCTGTCTCCCTCTGTCTACCTCTGTCTCCCCCTGTCTCCCCCTGTCTCCCTCTGTCTACCTCTGTCTCCCCCTGTCTACCTCTGTCTCCCCCTGTCTGACCCTGTCTCCCCCTGTCTCCCTCTGTCTCCCTCTGTCTACCTCTGTCTCCCCCTGTCTCCCCCTGTCTGACCCTGTCTCCCTCTGTCTCCCTCTGTCTACCTCTGTCTCCCCCTGTCTCCCCCTGTCTCCCCCTGTCTACCTCTGTCTCACCCTGTCTCCCCCTGTCTCACCCTGTCTCCCCCTGTCTCCCCCTGTCTCCCCCTGTCTACCTCTGTCTCACCCTGTCTCCCCCTGTCTCCCCCTGTCTCACCCTGTCTCACCCTGTCTCCCCCTGTCTCCCCTGTCTACCTCTGTCTCCCTCTGTCTCCCTCTGTCT